CAGATGTTGTCAATCCGATATTTGTGCTATTAATGTTACCACAGTCCTCTACTATTCCTATTATGTCATGCTATATCCAGATTGGTCCTTCCTCTTTAAAGCCTCTGTTGCCCGGGAAAGCCATTTGGCTTTCACACCCATTTCTTTACCTTCCATCTCTGGCCTGTACTCCCATTCCAATCCCGATTGACTTCTTTATGAGGTTCGCTCCCTAAGGTGTTATGTTTGCACATACTGCCTCCTTATGGGGTTCATGTTCCCAATCCTTTTATTCCCTGCAACCCTTCTTTTTTCCTGTGATCTATCCCTGTCACACTAACTGGTTGGGTTCATCAACTTCTTAGGCTGATGTATTCAGACTTATCCATCTCAACATTTCTTCTCACCAAATTTGTCATATCACCATGTCTTTGGCTGCTTATCTTTGCCAATCGATGGATGAAATCATTCAAGCCAGAATGTGGACTACTCCATATTCCTTCATTGCTCATTATCTGCACTATCTGACTGTATTTTTCTCAGGTGGATATAGTCTCCCTTCTCTGGCAATTCTACACAAGTCCATTTGCCTTTGACTTGGGTTTGTATTTTCACGACATTTATGTTTTAATTTTAGGGACCCTCTTTTATCACTACTAATAGAATCCCACTCTATGGCAAATGTTGCCTGTTCAGGTGTGCTTTCACTCAAACCTGCACAATATACTGGTAGAGCTATAATGCTCACTGTAGAGATTGAGTGTTCTGCAAGACTAGGCTCTTTTTTTATTGTGATGACTTTTATATGTTTTCCTGATAATGTGATTAAACAACAGTATAAATATTTTAATATAAAACAAGGAACTTAACTATATTGCAATTTGTTTACTTAGATTAAACAATAGGCTAACTAGAGATATATTAGTGCCTTTATTATCCATTGTTTCAGTTATCTGTGATTTTTTGCTTTCCCCAGACCAGCATCGATAATCGAGGCACCACTGTATATTTATTTCACATCAACGAGTGCAAGCCAACAATCACATAATATCAACAACTAATTGATAGTATTCCCTGAACTAACTGCCTTTGGTCCTGTCTGAGTATAAACACATGCACTGATTGGTTGAATTGAGAAAGAACGAAAACAAAATGGAATGAAATTACTAATATGTTGTGCAAATTATAGTACTTCATTCCTGAAAAAACATGAAAAATTGCTAAATCTGCCATTAAAATCTCAGAAACAAAGTCTGATTTAGTTCCATACTTCCAAGAGTCCAGAACTGTTCTATATTAAATTTCTATTTAACACAGCCCTATGCATGAATAAAATGGGAGAAAACACTAGGCACCATGATGCAATTATTATTCATCATGGTGACCTGCTGCCCGAGATTTGTCAAGGCCTACCTCAAACTAAGGAAATATTTACAATAATTTTAGGGCCAGAAATTGTTCCAATGAACTCAAGAAAGTAATGAAAAACATTTATATTGTGGACTTTGGACATCTGAAGAAAGCAATTAGATTCCAAACACACAGTTTCTTCTCTGCAAGCTTTTAGACTTGAGAAATTGCAACATCAAGTGGATCACGTGACAGCAAAATTGCTGTTTCAAATTGTTGTTTTAGATGCTTCTTTTGGAAATAAAAGAATAAAACTTACATTATATAAAACTTTGAATATAACACAGTACCAAATGCTGAAAGGAATTTAAAAATGATGCCACAAACTAAAGGGATAAGAGCAGAAATCATAACTCAGTAAACCATAAATGCAGGGAAGACACATCCTGCACCCAGAATTACTGGAGGATGTGGAACATTTGCTCAACTGTAAGAACAGTGTACATACATCCAGTTGCTGGTATTACAAGGCAGACAAAGTGCCCCAAACTCAACCATAGGAGTAGAGAAGTAAACCTCCTGCAACCAGAGTTAACAAAAAAGGGGGGCCTCTACTGCACTCAACCATAGGAACAGGGTGGTGTCATCCTTAACCCGGTGACACGAGGAGGATCCCACGTGGGCTGGTCCTGCTCCAACTGACCTTCGGTTCACCTGGGAATAAGCATCCATGAGAAAGAGAAAAAGGGAATCCAGCTTTGCCCTTTTCTCACTGAGTGGATAAATGTGTGGTTGTATTGTAAGTTAAATTTCTACTTCACACTCAGCAGGAAGCCTCCTTGGTCCACCACCCCAGTGACTAGAAACTGGTAAGTGGTAAGGTCTCCTGTGCTCCACTTGACGAAAAAGAGGGGAAGTAAATGTAGTGGAGAGTCTGCAGGATTGTCAAACGGAAGAAAGTGCAATGGGTGTCCACAATTCACTATTTTGAAAAGCAGACCGTCCTCAATTTATGCAATCAAAGGGTTGGTAGGGATAGGCAGAAATCCCCTTTTGATTTACACATGATAGTCCATGAGTGATGGTCCATTACTGAGTATATGCCACTAGAACAAATGCTTTTTCATAATAATTCCCAAGCATAAATTTGTGCTAGTTTTTTACTTACTTTTCACAGGCTCCAATAGGGTGCGAATACACCCTATAGCATATAAAGTGCCAAAATTTAGGTGACATTTATGCCTAAAATTGCAATTAAATTCACTAAAATGGGATTGTGTAATCAAAATAGAAAGCATTATAGGAGAAAAAGTGGAAAAAAAATTCAGAGAAATCAAGCATGACCGACTGACACTTCACAGCTTTGACTTTACTAGTGGGCATGGCTGACCTTAAACCAGGCCTTGATAAATATTTTCAAATCTAGGAGCCAGCCCCAAATCTCAGGAGCCAGGTGTGACTAAACTAACTTCACTACTGTTTGTACCGGGAAATGGGGGTTACACTAGTGCCTCGATTACCTCATCTCCCTTATCCACGATCCTCGATTACTCCTTTTTTCTTTTCCCCAAATTTTCTCAAAATAATTGTGCCATATCAATTCTAAACAATAATTTACATGTTTTGGAGAAATTGTTGCTCAGAAATTAATTTTGGTTGCAAAAGTTCAGGTATTGCATGATATCCGGAATTTTCGTGTGCAGGATCTGGTGTGCATTCAAATCGTAAGTCGACCGGTTCAAGCCTAGCCTTGCCTCTTTTATTTTTAGCTGTTAAGACAGAAATACAAAATATTTGTATCATGGTTAACTTTATTTGATTAGTGATTAAAAACAAATTTCCCTCAACCTCAGTTGTTGTCCACTGTTCTATGCTGCATGGCAGGTGTCCTTTTACCACAGATGCAATGTTCAGGTTGTGTTGGGGCATCACACAGTTATGCATTGTCCTCTTCCCTACAGATAATTGGTATCTTCAGTCTGTTTTCTTTTCATTTCCATAATCTCTAGAACCTCCTAAATAAATGTCAAAAGTTTTTAAGGAAGATGTTTATATTTTATTTTCCATTTTCTCTATTCTATTACTAAATCTATCTATTATCATCAACAAGTAGTGTAATGAAATGCTTAAAATTAACAAATGGAATTATGTATATGCCTTTCAACTCTTTGTAAAAATTCACTAATAATTTTCTTTGTCTCATATGCACAATTTCACATCTTTGTCTTTTCACTTATAGTTTATTTTTAAGTTTCCTTTCAAATTCCTTGTCTTTTATAATTTATGCCAAAATATCTCATAATGGTCTGCAGGCCTTTATTACTTACTCTTCACGTGAGACGTATACCCTTGAGCAATAAGTTTTTCACACATACTGTGTTTAGATGTCTTGACAAGATGTAAGACGAATAAGCTAACTTATAAAAGCCTTTAAACCCTTCAAATATGAATCTTAAAATACAAATAATACATAATTAACATATAAAAGTAAAACCTAAATGCAATGAAACTAATACATATAAGGTGAAAAAAAATTGCCAAGTACTACAGACACCAGCCTCTATAATGTACCTGATTCATTTCACACTATTTGAAGAACAGATGTATAAGGAAAGGATTCTCATTACAGTAATGACCTTCAAGAGCAAAATCTGCTCTTTCTATTAGTTATAAACATGCCATTCATCTTAAAACTGTTGCTGAGTAATTAATGCTCAGCACAATCGTCTGTACACCCCCACAAATTTCACACCACTTTTGAACATGTATATAGCATGTCACCACCCTTCATCAATAATACTGCCCCACTTATAGTGGTGCAGCTAGTTTCCTATGGTTCTCCTGCTCAATCCTCAATTTCAAGAATTACACCAGCAGTGGGGAGGAAGGGTGAGAAGTGTTTGAGAGGAGGTAAGTACCTATCGGAAATACATTGTCAATGTTAGAAAATGTTAACTTCTGATAGTCTTACTTCTGCTCACACAAAGCTAGAATCCCACACTGAAAAGATGGAGGGGCTGGTGTAGGTGCCTAACAGTGAAACTAAGTAGAAACAATTGCCTAGAAATAGATGGTTTGCTCAGAGACAAAACCAAACTAAGTAGAATCAATTGCCTAGAAATAGATGGTTTGCTCAGAGACAAAACCAAACCACATATACGGGGCACTGCACTACTTCTGTAACAGGTATGTTTGCCCCCATAAGAAGGAAATGAACCTGATACGGGTGTAAACAATAAAAAAAGGCACAAGTCTGAGCTGTCTTCCATCGCACAAAATAGACTGGAAAACATCCAGCTCCCAAAGGTGAAGAGCTGCTCTATGAAAGAAAACTTGATACCCACATGAGGAGAAATGGCAAGTCAAAGGACAGTTTGCCAAAATATAAGGATGGATAAAAATATCTAGCCATGAATAATTCTTCTGTAAGGTGATTTTCATTTTGAGCATAAAAATATTATTTATTATCTTATAGTTTTCACTTTTTTATCTATGCTTAGGGGCAGAAAGAAGATCAAGATAGCTCTCTGTGAGAGGAGGTAAGTATGTATTGGAAATACATTTTCAGTGTAAGAAAATGTTAACTTTTGGTTAAGTTACTGGTGTATGTAATACTACTTCGTAAGATAGAGCAGAATTGTAAATATATGAAACATATGTTAATATTGCAGGAAACAGGAAAAGAACATGTTGGTGGTACAGAACCCCCTTCTGGTCTTTCTTTTCTTAATGTACAGCCACTTACACAGCAGCTTGGTTACAATGTTGACTATCAGCAACACTTACACATGAGTAAGATTCGTCCAGCAATTTTGCAGAGGAAAAATGAAGCTCGATGGAAACGTATTACAGGTGTTTATCCAAAAGTGAGAAATGTGATTGGTATGTATCAGACTTGTTAAGGTGATTGGTGTGTATTAGATTTTTTTGAGACAACACCTCACTTCTGCATACAGAATAGCTTGATCCCTTGCTCATCTGCCCATGAGATTTGCATGCCACTAACCTTGAGCTAACTCCTTAAAAATTATGTGTTTAAAGTCAACAGCACTAGTGCATGATGACATTATCATATGATGATAGGCCTCCATCAATAGGAGGGTGACAAAACCTCCTTGGGCATTAACTCCCTTTAAATACTTGCACTCAATAATTTCATTCTTTTTCTTGGCATTGTCTTGAACAGAGAAGTTTTCAAACTTATTAATTATGTGACATTTGCAATAGTTTATGGAAAGTGAATTTCATTCACATTTAACTGTTTCTTTCTTTACTAAAGAATAAGAATAAGAAAAAAGTTTATGCTTACCCATTATGAGTTCTCAAATGATGGTAATTTCTACTTCATCCTATGATGGTGATGATATTACTAACATGGGATGTGTCTGTTGTACTACTGGAGGCTTGTTGTCTGTGGAGGACTTGACAGCCATTGTTCAATGAGGTATGGGCACCCTCATGCCTACAGGGCCTCCTACTCCTGTCCATTCGATTGACATATATTCCCCACAGTTTGAAAATGACAAGGATGATGATGACTGATCAGCTGTTTCCCTCACCAGGGTTTGCTCTAGATACTGCTTTATCAGTGGAGGAAAGTCCTCACTCTTCTAATCTCTTTCTTGGTATGATTTTGCAGGTATGTTCTTTTCTTTCTCCATTGTCTTTACTGCACAAAACACCTATTCAAGATTACTTTGTCTTTTTTCCTTCTTCTAATATTATTGTCCATGTAGGCTCATTTCTTGAACAGCTGTGCACCTGTGCTCATCTTCATTGTCTACTTGACTCTTTTGTCCTAGCTTACAGCCATCCTTCATTCATGTTACATGATTCCCAGTTTTGGAAATCTTTTATCTGCTTGGGGGCAGACCCCTTAGCTTCTAACTCACTTTCTAGTGCCCAATTTTTATGCCTTTGTCTCTTCCTTACCACCCTCCTATGTTACCTCTCCTCCTTTCACCTTATTTCTGAGGCATTTCATCATATTCCTGAAGGGTTTTCTGGTGAGGTTTGTTCTTGTATTTTCACAATTTTAGCCCATACTATTTCTGTTTTTGTTCCTCCTTACTTGGTTCCTCTGCTGTTGGGAATTGTTAGGTCGAGATGTTCTCCTAATTGATGTTTGTCTGCTTCACTCTTATCTCTGTTATCTTCTGTGAGCTCCTTTTTTTTTCACCTCAGTGTATTCGAAGGTGTTCCTGATTTTCTGGAAATCCAGACCGAGGCAGCCTTTCATTAGTCCTTGTTGTCTTCTTTGGTTTCTCATCTTTCACAACCATGCTCTTCTGTTCCTCTTCTTAGGCCTGCCCAATCTATGTTACCCGTGCCTATTCCTGCTTCACATTCTTCTTTTTCATCTCCTCCCACTTAACAATGTCAAGGCCATCACTCGTCCTGTGAGGTCTGGCACAGTGGTTGCCCATATGTCTCACATTGCCATCCTTTGGTCTTCATTTTTGGCCTACAGCTGGGCTTTTAAGATTCTTACCCATGGACTATCTCTACAATTCTGTTCCATCCCTTTCTCCTTTTTCTCTGTCCTTTCCTGAGTCTCTGACTCTGTTTATCTTCAGCATATTAAGGATGTAGTTTCAGTTCCCTTGGCCACAGATGCTATCCAGAAATTATTTACCCCTACTCCAGGATATTATCATCTTTTTGTGGTCCCCAAGAAGACTGGGGACTGGTGTCTGGTTATTGACCTGTTGTTTCTCAACTAGTTTATCATGCAGTTTCAAATGGAGTGTTTCTTTTTTTCATTGGTGGTCTGTGAATGACCAAGGTTGACATGTCAGACACTTTTACACATTCTGATTGCCCCATCCTTCAGATGTTTTGTCCATCAGAATTGAATCTTCCAGTTTCATGACCTTTCTTTTGACATTTTGTGTGCTCTTTACATCTTCAATCAAGTCATGGGGGCATTTGCCTGACATATTCACAAATTGGGGTTGAGGTTCCATTATCACATGGATGATTGGCTTCTCCTCATCTCTTTTTTATAAGGCCTCGTTTTCACACACCTCCATTTTTCTGCAGGAGGCTGGGCTAGCTAGTCAAGCATTCAAAGTCTTCTCGCTCATATCCAGTATTTGGTACATCTGGGTATGTTCTTCAGTCCTCATCTCAGTTAGTCTCAGCCTTCACCTCTTTGTCCACAAGCAGTGAAATTTCTTGTTACTAAGATATGTGCTTCTCATTTACACCCTGCGTGCAAGGTTCTTTCACTTTCAGAGACTCTGTATTTGCTAGAACCACTCATTACTTTAGGCCAAGCATACATAGGCTTCCTCCAGTGGACATTGCAAGACTGATGAAGCCTTTCTCAGAGTCTGTTGTCCTCAATAGTACACCTCTCCTCTCCTATTCTCAAGGACTTGGTGGCTTGACTGTGCCAATACCATGAAGGGCATCCCCTTTCCACCCCTCCAAGTGAATCTCTGTCTTTTCACAGATGCTTCTCTGTTGGGCTGGTATGTGTTCCTGAATGATGATATGGCTCCAGAAAATCATCTACTCCATATCAAAATACTCAGACTTTTCACAATTCATTGGGCATGTTCCCATTTTCTTATATCTGTCAGGGGCAACCTGTTCCAAGACTCTTTCATTCCATGATTTGGATCTGCTGTTTCTGGCTCATTCCCATTGGGTACATCACATATTTTGTCATGTGCCAGGTGCATTGAATCAACTGGAAGGTCGCCCCTCTTGGTCAGACTGGATTCTATCCACGTAGTGGTCTCTCCACCCACAAGTTTTTCATTGTGTTTGCTCTCACTTGGACACATCCCTCATTGCCACCTTTGCCAATCTTCCACTCTTCTAGTCTCCAGTTCCTTATCCTTTAAACCTGGAGGTCAGTGCTTTCAGCCAAGACTGGTCTTATCTTTTTATGTATGCTTATCTTCCTCTTGATCTTCTTTTTCCTGCCCTTGACTTTGACCTGTCACTATTTGTTAGGCCCTGTTTGTCCTGCACAGCCCTGGTTTTCTCTGCTTCATCAATTAACATCCAAGCCCCTCTTCCTGCATCCCATTCCCCCTCTTTCTTGCTCTTTTTCAGCCAAGGGTGTTGTCCCTTCATCTTCATGTGGGATTTGTGCACTTCATCACCCAAAGGGCTTGGCTCTCTAATCCTGTAAACTTCTTGCCCCATTCCTGTCATCTTTCCAGTTTCTTTGTCTATCAATGGAAGTGGGGAGTTTTTCATTGTTGGTTTACCTGCCACTCCTTTTCTCTGGGCCATCCTACTCTGTTTTTTTTCTTTCTCATTTGTATTTAGTTGTTCAACCAGGGATTGTAAACCTCCACCATACCTGGTTACCAAGTGGCTTTTTCACGTACATTTTGCCTTTCTCGTTACTACCAGAAGTATTATTCCACTTTCTTCCAATCCTTCCTTCTTCACTAAACCTCTTGTCCAACTTCTGTGCCTGACTAGGTCCTTAGTTTCCTGTTTTTTATATATTCTTTCTCTGAAGACATACTTCCTTTTTCTCACTGTTTGCTGTCATTTGAATATATGTGCCATCAATACTTCTGGCATTCTTATTTCATCATCCTTATTTACTCCTCTACCCAGATCAGGCTTTTCTTCCCAAAACTTAGGCTGCTTGGGAAGATGATTGTTCTTTCCCACCAATCTTCCTCCCTTCTATTTCTCACCTAAAGGTTCATTTGGACCTAGATCCAGATTGTCTAGTTTGGATTATGCAGTGTTATTTGGCATGAACATATCCTTTTCAGGATTCCTGTCATCATTTGTTTCTGCTTTGAGACTCCTCTTCATCCAGGGACATATTGCTTCCTATTCTTTCAGGATAGGTCTGCCAGTTCTTCTGATGTATTCTTCCCTAGATATTGATGCTCTCAAGCTTTTTCATGTTTCAGTGCATCAAATTTCTCACTATCGTGCATCTCATTTTCACTGACTCTTGGATGAGATCCTTCAGGCTGGCATGTGGATGTATCCACACACATTTGTCTCCCATTATCTTCATCATCTGGCTGTTTTGTATCATGTGGATTTCAACTCCCTCCAATCACTATTCTTCAATTTACACACTGTCTTTGAGAAGGGTAAGAAGATTTTGTTTTTCATTACTCTCTCCCCCTTTTATAGGATCCCAGCAGGTGGCTAATGTTGCCTCCCAGGATATGTTTATTTATCAAAAGCTGTATTGAGCCAGGGATAATAGAAAGCTCTCAACCCATCTGCCCTCACTGTTCCAGTGCCCACTGTCGAGATGGGGTGTTCTGCAAGACCATTAGAGGTATAATTTTGGTTTTAAATATATTTCATTGCCTGATCCACACCATACCATATCAGGGATTATCATAGAAAAGCTAGCACCGAAGTGACAGCTCACTTCTTGGGCTTCAGCTTGTCAACTTTTCAAACTAGGATTTCCCAGTCAACCATTGCACCATCTCCAGTAAAAGACCTTTCTGACAAGCATTCAATGGGGATTCAGGCATTTTTCTGGGTCTCTACAAAGCAAATCCACCTCCCCCCCCTTCTTCAAGTGGAGCACAGGAGACCCTTACCACTTACTGGTTCCTAGCCACTAGGTTGGTGGACCTTGGAGAGTTCCTCACTGATTATGTACAACACAATACAATGTGAAATGGGGGGTAGCATTATTTGTATAGTGTGGGTCTCAAACAGCTAGTGTGCCCTCCTTCTTCAGCAGGATGGGTTAATCACCTCCTTCTCTGTCTAGTCAAAGTGAGACACAGTACGGTCTGACTGTGCCCTAACTACACTACACTTCTTGGCTTGCTGACCACTTATGTGTATTTGCTCAGTTGGTCATGAATAAATTTTGCCCATCCCTGTGATACCTAGGGCTTTTTTGCCTTTTCCCCCTCTTCCTTCTGGGCGAAGAGCATAACCTGTTGAGATGAGAGGCAGTTTCCCACAGATGTCATTGGGTATCACATTCCATGGACATTCCCTTCAGGGGCTTTCAGAATGGAGTGCATCTATGTTTAATGTTTGCACTGGCCCCTCCACCTTTTCAGTATAGGATTTTAGCTATTCTGTAGCCATCATGCACCAGTTCAGTTCACATTAAACATAAATTTTAGGTGTGAGTTAGCTTAAGATTAGTGGGTGGCATGCAAGTCTCATAGGCAGATGCACAAGAGATCAAGTTATTCTGTGTCGAGGTGAGCATCTATAAGAAATACATTTTCAGGTAAAGAAAATGTTAACTTTAAGGTTGTCATTGTAATGTAAGGCTGATAATGAACTCTTTTTAAAGTGATTAATTGTCTTGTAAATTATTGAAAACTATAGTTTTGTATAACTTTCTCAGAATTGGAAATAATGCTTTTATTTTGTCTGGTAAAAGTGTTTATAAATTGAATTAACTAGCTAAAACTAAAACAATTTGTCAGTCATTTCTAAATGTGCCAGAATTGTAAGTAGAAAAACTTTAATAGGGAAGTACTTACTACACAATAATATAAACTTTTTATTCAATAGAATTATTAAAGATATACATTAACAAAAGTGGTTGTGATTGAGTAATCTATGAGCACCATGCTGTAAGCCTAAGATTAAGAACCTTGCATTTTGTTTCTATTGTACTGAAGCACATTAGCCCTTAGGTTAGTATTTTTTGCTTTGGAGTTTAAAAGGATCTTTAAAATATCAGGCAGGTGGTAGCACTGCTTATGTAGGGATGGCTTGGATTGTTCATCAAAATAGTATTTTAAATATCTCCTCAATAGGTCATCAAGAGCTTTACAATACTATACAGTGTTTCCTTTTATAATAATATCTATGTAATGACTGAGTCACATGTTCTGTAAATATCATAGGAAATAGTTTGAATTTCTTCTTTTTTTATGAAATGATAACTCAATAGTCAAAATAATGATATCAGCCAATTTCACTGAGGTGACAGTTTCAAATGAAGCATCTACTTTTATAAGTATTATTAACTAGTAGTAATTAAAAAAACACATAATTCTAGTGTTAACGATCTTCTCGTTACCTCTTGAAGTTAGCTTTCTTACAGAAATATGTGGATCCAGGAGATCTATCCCCAGTTGTTGGAAAAATCTCATCATCATACATCCATAACAGTTTAGATTTTGTGAACAAAATTAAAAACACTGACCTAAATAAAGGAGAAATGTTAAGTTTTGAAGTTGAAGCTTTATTTAACAATGTACCAGTTGAAGAAACCATAGAATTTATTAAATGAAAATTATCTGAACTGAACATATCTTTGTCTGTTCCCATTGACACTTTTATCTCTCTTATCGAATTCTGTGACCTGTCTTGGTCAGTATTTTGGACAAAAATATGGAATGGCCATGGGAAATCCAATGTCTCCAATAAAGTGCAACCTTTTAATGGAATATTTTGAAACCAAATTAGCTCCTTCCATAAATATAAACCTTTCAAAAATTCTGTGTTTCCAATATGTTGATGATATATTTTCTTTGGGGCCAAATAAAAGAAGTGATTTTGAAAGTGTTTTCAACAACCTTAATCAACTTCACCCAACTATCAAAGTTTAAAGTTAAATGGGAAAGGGATGATCAACTTCCTTTCTCGGATGTTTTGATAACCAGAAAAAACACAGAACCAGTCCTCTCAGTATACCACAAGCCAACAAATTTTGTGTCACCACAAACAGGTCAAAACATCTATTATTTCTTAATTTTTTTCATGGAACATATAGAACATGCAACCCGACAATGCTTGAACATGAAGT